GAAGAGAGGGGTCAACTGTGACTGGCCGCTGTGTCACCGATCGACGGATCACGCGGATCCGACTGCCTCAACTTCAAAGGCCCCGCAGGTGCTCTCTGGACTGTGCTTGCGACGGCCTAGGGTCTCGGTCGTCATCTGCTGGAGCCCTTAAAAATAAAGTCGAAATCTCAGAGTGCGAACCCGCGGATCTCTCTCTCCTCGACCTCAAGGCACCCACGAAGCTTGGGCACTGGCAGCGAGGATGTCCGTTGTCTCTTGCAGACGGGCTTTGGAACTACCTCTGATTTGGCTCGGATCGGCCACTATTTCAAATACTACAGGAGCTCCGGAGCTCGGGTTACTTATGCTCTCTACGACCGAGCCCCAATACGTTGCTCAAACGTCGCTAGTCACTTCGTTTCCCGGTCTCACGACCCGACAACCTGCTGCCGGCGGAGTACAGTATACCCACATTCGACATCTGAGCCTTGACAGTCCTGAACATCCTCTTGGATTCAAAACTTCTTTGTAACTGCCTTGCAAGAAGAAAAAAAGCTTTTACATGTCGCCGGTTTTGACTTTGAACACTACTTAATTTTTGGGGGGTGTTTTTCAGATACTTGGGCCTCGACGCCGATCTAGCTCGCTCGGCGCTTAAGCGCCTCCCTCGCTCTTATGAGTAGGAAATCAGAACTCCCGTTCCGAACTAATTCCCATACTGTACTATTTCAACCAAAGGTTCACGCCATGTCACCGCCACCCTTTTTGTGAGGTGTTTATTCCTCGCTTAGGGTGTGAGGAGGAGGAGGAGGAGGATGAGGAGGAGGAAAATTCCCATAAGGGGACGCTCAGGGGACTTTTTTGATGGATTTCTGGCCTATTTTTGGCCAAAATTCCGCAATGTCACCGGCACCCACCTGAAATTTGTTCACTTCACGACCCTCTGTCACCCGTCACCCGAACCTTTGGTCGAAATAGTACAGTATACCTCTTTATTTTGATCAAGTTCAAATTTCCATGAACAGTCATTCGTCTCTTCCACATACTTCCGTCACTTTTCAATTCGCTTGCCACTCTTTTCAATTCACCTGCCACTCTTTTCAATTCAATTCACTTGCCACTCGGTCGCGTCGCTAAATGCCTAATCGTCAAGTCGAGCTGATGGATGCGGCGCACGCACGAGCCACTTTTAATTTGCATCATATATGGCGGGTGCGTGTTGTCTATGTTTTGGAAATTTTTTACCTGATTTATGCTCTCGTAGCGCACATTCCGCCAAGACCCGGAACGCCGTCTTTTCACGAATAGAGGAGACTTTAGAGAGGACCGAAACGAGCCAACTGCCCGATATCTAAAATAGGCTCTTTATATTAATTTAACAATTCGATGTCCGTCTATGTGCGTAGTACTTAGGTATAAATACCTCGACGGACCCGATAGAGACGAACGGGAAAAATAGTATCGTAAATCGTAGTATCACGAAGATCATAATAACTCCCATTGAAGGGTAATTGAGGCGTTTCCCCCAAAGTTCGCCGGCCTCTAGGCGTTTATCGAGAGCTAGAAAAACGTCTTCAACCTGTTTAACTGCCACGGCTTTGGGGTGATCGATCAAGACGACCTGGTGATTTTATGCACTCAACTTCGAGGCGACATCCATCCACAACTATTCGCTCAGTTGGTTCGCGAATATGGTGAATTCTAATCTGATTCAGTCTGCCCTTTTGTCTGGCATCTGACACCCCGTGTTACAGCCTCCAACACCGTCCCCAGAGAACCGAGGAATGTTTACACAGTCTTCACTGGACAGCCTCTTACAATTCGTCGTCTCGGTGAAGCAGCGTAACGGGGGCCTCTATCAGATTGATCCTCGTGGCAACCACTCGAGAAACAGCCTGGATATGACTACGTGAGAAGATACAAAGGAGGGAGAACTGCAACTGGTGCAATATGTACTGACCGGCCTCAGTCATTCTACATGCCGCGATTAGTACTTCGATGTAGATCATCACAATTTCTTTTTTGTTGCTTGCCCCCTTCTCTACCACCCAGCCCCTTAGCGTGTCCGTTTCAATGAATACACAGTCCTGCGCATTACAACTCTGTCGCGAAATTACTACTACATACTAGGAATGGAAGACGCGCCAACTAAAATTAATTTCGCGAGTGGTTCAAAAAATGGCCCAGCCCCGAGTCGACCAGGGACTACCTCCGTACGTTTTGATCTGCTGCCCAACAAAGTACGCAAGTGCACAGCGCCATGGAAATATGTCAACCTAACATTTGACCTTCAACTGATTTGTGCAGTGGGCCATTGCTTCGCATGGCAATACGAGTCCGTCTAGATAGTCCTTGATATGCGACCTTGATAAATAAAATAATATGAAATTAACAGATACACTGCCAACACATAATGGCAGCCTAGGGCCACAGGCACTCGATTTTAGAAGGTCCGGCCTATTTAGTATGCTGGAATATGTTCAAGCTGCAGCACTTTGATATTATAATCACACTAGAATGTGTCCGCGAATAAATTCGCAGATAACATCGTCTCGCTCTGGATGATCTCGGCAACTGTTGAATTGATATCTGTGGAAAAACTGCAATATGGCTGAGCTTCACCAATTTAAATCTTCTCGCCGTCCAACAGCTTGAAATAATCAAATTGCATATGTGCGGGATTAAAATTTAGTTCAGGCTCTCCCCCTTGGTTATAGCTTAAGCCTTCCAGGAAATTAGTGATGAATGGCGAGAAACTCAAAGCAAGTTGGTGCAGCTCAACTAATTTTCCAGCTTCTCCATGCATTTGACCACTGTTGAGTTTTTATTACTCTACAGTGAGACCATGTTTTCCGCAAATTTATTTGCGGGCATATTCTAGTCGAAATGTATTATAGTATAAGATGTAAGATTATGCAACACCAGCAGCAATGGGGTACTTGACAAAGGACAGCATCGCGGATGATTCTATTGAGAAACCCAGGCTGATGCCGGTGCCACATATCGTAATTGAGATATCACCGTGTATGTTTCGCTCTGCTCGCTCAGAATATTCTTGCGTCAGTATGTGAGCAATATCCATTTTCTTCGAACGTATTGGCTTGCTGGGTGCTGGTTTTGAGTGAAAAATGAGACATACCATCCTTTTGATGGGATCAGACGAGGTTGAACTAATCTCGGCAACAACCCCGGTACACTCGTTTTAGGTCTTGGAAGAATGTGGGGACTGCAACTGTACAGTTCTATGATTAAATATTGCCTGCCTGGCCCATTTTTCCAGAGTTAATTCCCACACAAAAAATCTGAAAAGGCTATAAATACAATGAAGCATTTAATCCCAGCATTGCAGCCCGGTGAAGAACTGGTACTTTTATTTTTAAATGGCCCCATAGAGCTGCAAGGATACCTTACTTTCTAGCTCATATACACCCGTACTCATTACTCACTGCACTTATTATTCTCTGACTATATTGCTATTTGTCATCGTATTTTGTGTAGTTTGTACAGCACCTTCGATGGGATCAGACTTACTTGACCCCAACGCTGACACTGTACCCTTTTCTTAATAGAATTTGGTTAGGTTCAGTCAGGATCTCTCTTCAGCTCAACTCCCCTCCTTATAAGAGTTCATTGACTGTCAGTGAGCTTGGAATTTACTGGTAGAAAGAAGGATCAACATGATGTTTGGGCTGCATTTATTTCTTAACTTTTTGATAATCTAGAGCTAAATCCCGGTGTTGAGGTTTATCCACAATCAGCGCAAGTCTTTGAATGGGATGTGGCTTCACCAACTGTAAAGGTATTGAATCAACGGGAGATGTGTTTGATTTAAATGCCTGACACTGACAGAACATGAACTTGAACCAGTGACATGCTTGTAAACTTGTACAGACTTCATAACGAAGCTGAGCTGCCATCTGGTTCAATACTTGGTCTGAAAAAACATTCATTAAATTTCATTTCATAAATCATGGGTAGAAACAGTTTACCTCCGGGGGGACAGGTGGTTCCCGCCCAATCTTCGCTCAGTTGCCGCTTCGCGTCAACCAGCTCAGATTGGGCGGAATAAAAGCATGGCCTTTGGCATGCCCGCCGTCTGTGGCAGCAGACCAATGGTACATGAAGAATACATGGACAAAATCCATATCCTGAAGAGCACCACGGCAAGTTTGATTTAGTCTCCACAGGATTGTACGTGTCGACCACGATCAATGACAACGAAAAAATTAAGCTGATGTATTGGCCAGTGATCACTAACTGCAGACATATTTGCCTACCCGGATACTTCCGGGCCCCAACATTATTCCTCAGCGGGGTTGTGCCTTGTAATGCTACCTACCTGATGATTCAGCCTGAGGATTAGTGAGCACCGAGAAAACTGGCTTATGCATCACTTTAATCAGCAAGGAATAACAGTCAGTAATATTCAATCTGCGTCGTGACCGCGCATTCGGACCGGCTACCGGCGGAAAAATAGTTGGAAGTTGCGATCTCGATGGAAGTAATATGGACTCATTCAAGAGTGTCAGGCATAGTGCGGTGCGTATCTTGTTGAGCACTCTTAGTTTTCTAGAGTTCTCAAAGCAGGTTGGAGGAGAAATGTAAAACGCGGTACTGTGAAATCTTTGGCATCAGCCCAATCAAATTCCCATCCCACGCAAAGTCAAAGTCATTAAATACTGACTTTTTTTCCAAAAAGTGGCCTAGAAAATAACTAAAAACGATTACCTAAACAAGTTTAGGACTCGTAATTGATCTCCGCAGGCATGTATATTAATATTAGTGGTTGAAAAAAGACAACAGCCCAGCCCTGAGCCGAACATAGCCGAAACTATACACAATCCTGCGAGTCTCCGCAGGTGTAGTCTCTCGTAGACAGACACTTTAACAAATGAAGCTCGTACCTTGCTTGTTACCGCAGGTGCACCATCAGGCCCTAATAATCAATAATAGTAATGTAAAACTTCGACTGAAGTTGAACCACAAGGATGGTTGAAAATAAATAGAAAAAGAAAAGATCACGGCCCTACCCTGAGTCGAACAGGAAATATCTGTATAATTAATTCACAACAACATGCATCTTATACAACTGTGTTTCCGTTACACCACTGGGCCACGGTTTTACCTGAATCTGTGCGTATACCTCGACACGATGTTTTTGCTTTTGATCGTCCAGAACAAAGTTTGAAAACAAAAATGGTTGGCTCAGCCCTGAGTCGAACAAGGATCATCGGCTTATCTGGGAGATGGTGAACATTTAACAGACGTGCTACCGTTGCACCACGGAGCCACTCTGTAGCTCTGCAAATTGTAAGGCTGAATACCGGCTCCCCTGGAACTTTAAATTGGCAGCTTGGATGATCTCGCTTTCAAAAAAAAAGAGCCGCCTTGGTATATTAGCCCGAGCTTTCAAGAAGCCAAGATTGGAGTGATAAGCGCGCACCTAAATGCCCGGGAACTTCCGAAAAAGCAAACAGAACCAAAATAGGATTTGTTCCTTTCTCCTCTCGAGGTCACCTGGCTGAGCTCAATCTCGATACAACGCGCCTTGAATCCGCTCGTCGCACATAACACTCCTTCACCACATACCCAATACGTTCTTCTCACGGTCCGTACGGGCTTTACGACACTTACGCGCGTCACGACTCTTACGACTATCACAATACTTATTGTCTCTCTGTCTCTCATATTGGGTTCATCGAGGTATTTATACCTAAGTGCGACTGTACGTAGATGAATATCGCATTGTTAAATTGTTAAATCTGCCTCTCAGCACTTCTGCGGCTTCATCAAGCAAGGTTCAAGACGTCGCAGGTTTCTGTCTGGCATCTCCTTCAAGCTCCTGAACGGACTTGGTTCGAACCCCAGATTTATTGTCATGCGTCCGAGAAGCCGTAGCTATCTTAACACCGACGCGATACGACAGACCGCCCCTGGCACAACATACCCGCATCTACGCTTCGAAATTCGGACGGGGACTTCCACCTTCCATCCAAGGGACGCCGTCCATATCTTTCGACGCCATCCTTATCTTTCGACGCCACCCATATCTCGCAGCTCCTAACATTCAACCCTTCGTCCGAGTTTGGTGTCGACCCCTCATCCGAATCTTTGGCGCCCCTGCCCGCTATCGCTAGCCAGCCTTCTTGAGGACGTCGAATGCTTGGCTGCCGAACCGAATGAAGTACAGGGTGGCCAAGCGGGTCGTCTCCACCACGGCGTTCTCGTCTGTTCGAGGTGATAATAAAATGAAGGGAGAAATCCTCGCTGGTACGGTTCATATTTGCGCCATGGTATTTGGAGGATCTTTTCTCGGGCAGAGATCTTTCGCTCCGTAAAGCTTGTTCGAAGCATCTGTATTTAGACCGTGTACCGCGGTGCTGTACCTGAGCAGTGTAATACGTGGGGCGTAGTAACGAAGTCCGCATGTGACGGAAGCGAGTCAAGCAAAGACGGACGGGCGGAGCTTGTAAGGAATCAGACAACAGATCGACTACAAATTGCAGACATACCACTTGACCTCTTACCACCACCTCCCTCACAAATATTGCCCAGAAATTACTATAGAAACAAACAAACCATGGCCCCCACAGCTGTAGCATCGAGCCCGACCAACAGCAACGGCAAGCACCACGTCACAAAGCCCAAGAACGGCGCAGCGCCAGTCGTGCACTTGTCGTCAGGCGGATGTGATCCAGTTGGAGCACCAGTACGGCGCCCACAAGTGAGTATTGTATCTCCGTTTGCAGGCGCGTCTTGTCGCGAACAGAACCAACGGCCCCCACAGAAACCTTGCCGGTCGACATTGCGTCCTGGGAAGGCCAGAGGGGAGCCAGCAGCATCGCCGAATAATAATAGGGGACCCAAGAGCCAACCATTCCTTGTCCTTCGTTCCGTCTTCTTATACTCTTCTGCCCGCCCGATTTCTCACCCTGCGTTTTTTTTGCCACTAGCTATCACCCCCTTCCGGTCGTATTTGACAAGGCACTGGGTGCAAAGTGCGCAGTAACACCTTTATTGCCATTGGCCGCTGTTCTGATGTGGCGTGTCGCAGGGTATGGGACCCAGAAGGCAAAGAATACATCGACATGCTCTCGGCCTATTCGTGCGGCTCTATTCTATTAATGCTACATCCGTCTGAGGTCTCTGCAGCGCGGTCAACCAGGGGCATTGCCACCCGCGCATCGTCGCGACGCTCTGCGAGCAGGCGCAGAAGCTCACGCTCTCGTCGCGCGCGTTCTACAACAGCGTCTTCGGCCGCTTCGCGCAGACCGTCACGGAGATGTTCGGATACGACATGGTGCTGCCCATGAACACCGGCGCGGAGGCGGTCGAGAACCGCCCTCAAGCTCGCGCGCAAGTGGGCGTACATGCGCAAGCACGTACCCGAGGGCAGCGCCGTTGTCCTCAGCGTCGAGGGCAACTTCCACGGACGGACGCTCGGCGTGATTAGGTGCGTGGTGTTCTCTTACTCTTACTTAGATTAACTTTTATGCAGCATGAGCACGGACCCCGACAGCCGCACGGGCTTCGGCCCGTACCTCGAGGGCGTGGGCCCGACCTTCGTCGACGGCGGCAAGCTGCGCACGATCCGCTTCGGGCACGTCGAGGATCTGGAGCGCGCGCTCGAGCTCAACGGCAAGAACGTCGCCGCATTCCTCGTCGAGCCCATCCAGGGCGAAGCCGGGTAAGCTCCGTCCGTTCGCCTTCCCGGTCTCCCTCACGCCGCCGCGCAGGATTGTCGTCCCCGAGCCCGGGTACCTCGCCAAGGTCCACGCCGTCTGCAAGAAGCACAACGTGCTGCTCATCTGCGACGAGATCCAGACGGTGTGTCTCCCCTGTGTATTGCTACCCCGCGCTCATCAAATAATGCACCCAGGGCCTGTGCCGCACGGGCAAGATGCTCGCGAGCGAGTACGACAACGTGCGCCCCGACATGGTGCTGCTCGGCAAAGCGCTCTCCGGTGGCGGTGAGTCGCGCTTTCTTATCGCTGAATTCCCCACTAAAGTCTGAGTACAGTGTACCCCTGTCTCCGCCGTCCTCGCCGACCGCGACGTCATGCTCTGCATCCAGCCCGGCGAGCACGGCAGCACATACGGCGGGTGCGCATCCTCCCCAAATATATGCAACCCAAATACTCACCCGCCCCCAGAAACCCCCTCTGGCTGCGCCGTCGCCCTCACCGCCCTGCGCGTCCTCGTCGACGAGCAGCTTGCTGCGCGCGCCTTCACCCTCGGCGCGCTTTTCCGCTCCGCGGTCACCGCGCTGCGCTCCCCGCTCGTCGCCGACGTGCGCGGCCGCGGGCTGCTCAACGCCGTCGTGATCGACGAGGCGAAGAGCAAGCGCGGGCGCACGGCGTGGCAGTTCTGCCTGCTGCTCAAGAGCCGCGGCGTGCTCGCGAAGCCGACGCATGTGAATATGTGCGTTCCGCTCTCTCTTCTCTCTTTTAACTACTCTTCTCTCCTCAACTCTGCTCGCGTTTTTCCTCGTTTTGCTCCAGTCGCGGTTTTCTACTCACCTCCCCCCCTCCCCCTCCCCTTCACGCCACTCGCGCTTTCCTGCTCCTTTCACCCGCAGGCACTAACCTCTCTTCTGAACAGCGTGCGCTTCGCGCCCCCGCTTGTGATCACGGAAGAGGACCTCCTGTGCGCGGTCAAGATTATCGGCGAGTGTCTCGTCGATTTGGATGAGGTGTGTGTCTCATTCGTTATGAATCAACTAACTAACCAAGCATCCTCTTACAGCTCGACGAGATCCCGGGCGAGGTCGAGAGCGAGAAGGGGCACATGGACCTCGTGACGAACTAGCTGCCTGGCACGGTGGACAGGTGGACAGACTGGACTCCGGTAGGACAGACCGTACATGTAGACCTTCTACCTATTGTACCTCTACATAGTGTAATGGAATCCACATACTGGGTTCCAAAATTGTACAAGTACTGTAGCCATACTGTAATCCACCTTTTGCAGACCTGTGTGCGCGCTGAAGCGTCGGATGATGAAGCGTCGGCGTCAAGCATGCGTCGACTCTGAATTGCCGAAGTGGAATGAAAACAGGTGAGTTCGAAACAGATGCATATCTATTATACAGATGTGAAAGGAAATCCCCAAAAAAGTGATAAAGAGTCTTCAATGTAGCAGCCTCCCGAAGAACGACCCCTTCCCTCCCGCATCCGACGCACTCTTGCGCTCGTCGTCATACAACAGCTTCACGTCTCCATTCGATGCCTCCACATCCAGCTCGTCGCCCGCCCACGCCGCCTCCTCTCCATCGGGAAAGTCCCCCGCGACGGGAAAGTCCCCTGCGAAGCAGCGCCTGCGTGTTCTGTGCCTCGCCAAGCTGCGTGAGCTGCGCAGAGAGCGGCTTAGAGAAGCGCACGGAGCCGTTGCGCGTGAGGATGGTGATGGGCCCGCGGAAGGAGCGCGGGAGGTGCAGCGTGATGGGCCCGTTGGCGTCCGTGACTTTGAGGCTGATGGGCGGACGCGCGGCGTCGGCGTGCTGCAGCACAACAACCGGATTTAGCTTGTTTAGTTAAGGGAGTAAACGCGCTGGGGACATACCACGCGCGCTGTGATGGATCCGTTCTTCGACCGGACGAACAGGTCTACTCTGCGCTTGACGTCGCGGTCCCCCACGACGAAGACGTCGACGTCGATGCCCCCGTTGCTGGCGTGCAGGAAGAGGTTCTGCTGCGCGTCCCCCGTCTCGTCTGCTTGTGGGGGCTTGATGCGCGGGTCGATGATGTAGGAACCCTTGATGGAGCCGTCGCTGCGGCTAATGGAGAGGAAGTTCGTCGGTTTCCCCGGGGGCAATGGTGTCGGGCTGTCCGTTGATGTAGATCCAGAGGCGTACGCGGGTAGTGCGTCCGTCTGCAAAACGTTGGTTCTGAAGTCCAATATTGCAGGATGGGGACGAACCGAGGTGCTCGCGACGGCGCTATCGTCCTGGTCGCTTTTTTTGAGGTCCGATTTCTCTGGGGAGGGAACAGTCATGGTGGGTGTTTTGAAAGGCCCTGGTGATCCATGCAAAGCTTATATGTGTTGCGGCGCAGTGCGCAGCGAGGTTGTGGCGGCAGTTGGCGTGTGGTGCTGCGGAATGTGATCCGACAATAGATATTCGTGCAAGGTCGCCTGGCTTCCGGCTTCTGGCTGTTGCAGGGCCATTGTAATCCGCGTCCAGCATATCGGATCGATTGGCGCCGAGAATGGCGCCTCGAGAAGCAGCAGCAATAGTGGGGATCCTCAGAGACACGAATCTAGAATGTGGGCGCGTCGCGACGGCCGTCCAGG